AAGAACACAATGCTTTCGTGAAGATGGAGCGACTGTAAGAGAAAAAATATCATAAGCCAAATTTACCCCATCAATCCTCAGAGGAAATGAGACCATTCATGGTTTTTGTTACAAAAAAAACTGGACTCAACAGGGTTCCTACCATAGAACGAAGTATTTGACCTCTATTCTCTGAGAACTAAACCTCTCTCTGTCTGTTGTGAATGTATTTTATGAAGAAAGGTCATCCAAAAGTTTCCCTTTCTATTAATACAGGAGAGAGAATTTTCTCAGCTTTGGATCCTATGCCCAGATTTGTGAACATTTACATAATAGGTAATAAAGGCTGTGAAGAAAGGCAGGCAAGAACCCATGACATACTCAACCCTTTACCAGTTTCCCAGGTAACCTTATTATACATGAGTGGAAGAACTCAGCCCTGAAGTACACTCCTGGTAATATTTCTGACTCGAGCACTTCAGAGCCAGCTCAGTGCTCATGAGTATCTAGACAGCTCGCCTGTGTCAGGCTTCCTGCCATCTGATTAAAGTAGCATAAGTGAGTCATACTTCATAAGCCATGGGAAGGCCAAGTGTTGGGTAGCCATGGAAAATAAACTAATCATTCAGAGGCCAGCTGTTTCATAAACCCACAAGGAATGAAGGACGACAGTATTTATTGGAAGCAACCACTTCTGTTCTTTTGTATGCTGTCAGTGGTAGATGCACACAATCTAAGCTTGGAAAGGATCCGAGCTATTATCTCATTTGATCACTAGACATTCAAATAGTCACTGTACTAACCAGCTCAGTGATCTCAAATCTGGCCAACATAACAATATCCTGGGACTGTTTGTGTTTTATTTTGTTGTCAAATCTTCTTGGGCCTTGGCTCAGCTCTGTGACGCTAAAATCTCTAGGAGTGGTAAAAATGAAGGAAGGGAAGGAGGGAGGGAGGGAGGGAGGGAGGGAGGGAGGGAGGGAGGGAGAGAGGAAAGTCTAAATCAAAGCTGTACATTCCATCTTTAGGAAGCTTTTTTTTTTTCGGGTCGATTGTGGGGCTTGAACTCTGGGCCTGAGTGCTGTCCCTCAGCTCTTCAGCTCAAGGCTAGTGCTCTACCACTTGAGCTATAGAATCACTTCTGGTTCTCTGGTGATTTATTGGAGATAAGAGTTTCCTGGACTTTCCTGCCCAGATTGTCTCTGAACCGCAATCCTCAGATCTCAGCCTCCTTAGTAGTGAAGATTACAGGCAGGAGCCACCAGCGACAGGCTGGGAAGCTTTTTAAACTGTCTCATGACATTGTCATAAAATGGTCCATATAACTTCCAATCATGGGTTCTAGTTCAAAGATCTCTTTTATTTGCTCTGAGCTAGATGTCTCCAACCACTGCCGAGCACTTAACATACTATTGAGACATGTCCCTCACTTGACTCGATTCTCCACAAATGCTTGATGGTTAAGTTTACCACAACCCAGAAGAAGCACAACGTTCCAGTACAGAGTAGAGCTGGGAAAGAACTCTCCCTCCAAGCCACAACTTTGGTTACCATGAGAGTTACTCAATATTCTGGCCTCTCCTGAGCTAGATGGAATGCTGCTTGGTGATCATTTTGCCTTTCACTGGTCAGATTTCTCTCCTAGTCACCGTAGACTCTGTCCAAAGTCTTTGTCTATTTAAATCCAATCCCCATCTCCGGATTTCCTCTTAGATGAGAATGCCATCTTCATAATCCTTAGAGAAGGGATGGGCTTATTGTGTCCCAACCCACCAAATTCATTTCCGAGTGCAACACATAAAATAGCAAACTATTGGAACCACATGCATCAGAGACTTATCACATATCCTTCATATCTTATTTTCACTGGAGATGCAAGGCACAGAACAATCAAAGGTCACAGACAACAAGGGAGAAGTCCAAAAGGCCCTGAGTAGTTGCACAAAAACTTGGAAGCACAGAGATTATCTGCAAGTCAGATTCCTGATTCACTCCACACAGCCATGAGAGCTTCACTTTGACCGCTCTGCTTCAGACTCACTCATAGAGAATTGTAGGACTTCTGTGAGATTCTAGTTCCATTTACCACAAATTACTCTAAGCCAGGGACAGTCGATGCAGGGCATTCTAGAGAGAGAATTCTCCTAGAAAGCCTCATTAGGCTACTTAGCTGAGGGACCAGTTTCTATGTATAAAAAGATGAGGTTGGGTGAACTGCCTTCTTTTCTTTCCCTGGGAAGCACATCCTGGTTTCCAGAGGAGTAATAAGACGTAGGCAGCTCCTTTTACCTTCTTCCTCTCAACATCTACACTCAACTTGCTCTTGTCAAAGAGCAGTAATACCTGCTTTACATCATTCAAGTGCTCTGAACGTCATTCTCTCTATTCTTTTGATTATGTCCTCTGACATAGCTGTTTCTTCATTTTACTGTCTTTGCTTTATACTTTATGTTAGAGCATTTAATATGTTCCTACCTAGCTGGGTGCCAGTGACTCACACCTATAATCCTAGCTACTTGGGAGGCTGAGATCTGAGGATTGCTGTTCAAAGCCAGCCGAGACAGGAATGTCCATGAGACTCTTTTATTCAATTACCAGAAAACTGGAAGAGGTGCTGTGGCTCAAATGGTAGGCCACTAGCCTTGAGCTAAAGAGCTCAGGAACAGGACCCAGGCCCAGAGTTCAAGACCCATGACCAACAAAAATAGAAAAAAAAATGTTCCTACCTACCAGAATCTTCTCTGTACCATAGAAATATATTCTCTGCTCTTTAAAAAAATTCCTTAATAGCTGGGCACCAGTGGCTCATGCCTGTAATCCTAGCTACTGAGGAGGCTGAGATATGAGGATCATGGTTCAAACCAGTCCAGGAAGAAAATCCATGAGACTCTTATCTCCAATTAACCACCAGAAAACCAGAAGTGATGCTGTGGCTCAAGTGGTAGAGAGCTCGCCTTGAGCTGAAGAGTGCAAGGATAGTGCCCAAGCCCAGAGTTCAAGCCCCATGACATACAAAAAAAAATCCTTAATAAATTACCACCCCAGAGATATGTAATATCTACTCCATATTTACCTTTACAACTAAAATTCTTATCACTTGCTTAGACATAAAAATTACTTTTACTTTTAATATGGGGCGTTTGCATCTTGCCCAAGCTACCTACAACATTTTAGCTGCTTCCTGAATATGTCCGTCCATCTGTATGTCCTATAAGCGATTGAAACTTAAAATAACCCAGATTAAATTTATCATCATCAGCTTCTATTTGCCAGCATGTTTCCATGTCTTTGAGTGAGCAGAACACATATGTACCTAGACACCTCAACTGAAAACTCATGCAAAATCTTCCTTTTGTCCCACCCAGAGTGGCATCCATTCAGTCAGCAAGTGTTATTTATATGTTGTTATGTAAATCCATTTTCCTCCACTGCCCCCATAAAACTACATGCACTGACCACTTCTTTCCATGTGAACTCACTCACTCAATATTACATCAAGTCATAGCCAGACCACATTTCTCCTTATCTTCTGTCATCATAAGAAATCTCAAATCCTGAAGTCAGGATACACACAACCAAACACATGTTTCTTATGTGTTGGTTTAGAACTTTGTTAGTGAAGGAAATGAAGCAGTGTAATGATGTGATTTACTCTGTGACATACCGAACCCTGCCTGACTTTTCACTTGTGTTTTGCTGCTGTTGTGTTACCTTTCCTTTTTTGTGTGTCTCTGTCACACTCTGTCTCTCTCTGCTGCAGTCACTGAGCCTTTCTGATCTTCAGTCCCTATGGTGACATTTTCAAACAAGAACTAGGGGGAAATATCAGGATTGGCTGGAAACTCCAAAAATATCATTTGAATTAGTAAAACTCTGAATGCAAAAATCCCTCTAGCAGAGCAAAATTATAATTTCACATTACAAAAATCATTTGGGACTCTCATAATTCTCTACTACCTCCTAATTGATTAAGGATTTATCACATTTAGTTAATGTTCTTGTACTTAAATATATATGTTAATACACTATGCATGTTTACTACATAAAGTTACATATAACTATATAAAGTTATTATAGAAAGTTACATAACTATATAAAGTTACTATACAAAGTTACATAGTTACTATATAAAGTTACATAACTATATAAAGTTACTATATAAAGTTACATAAAGTTACTATATAAAGTTACACCTCAAAAATCATTTAAGTATAGTTGTCTTCATTGCATGAAAAAATAATTTTCCTTATTCACTGAAATGTGATACATGCAAGAAGAAAATAAGGAACATAGAATGAACTAGGAAGGAATGTTTGCTTCAGAAGAGATTGAATGGAAAGACAGTTAGAGCTGTGACAAATTGTAATAAGGATGTATGAATAGAATTCAAGGAATTTAAAATAGGTGACACCTACAGGAAAGAAAGAAGCTACCTGTGCTTATAAAGCAAGCGCATATATACAATATTATATATATATATATATATATATATATATATATATATATATGCTGTAGAACAGATTTCCCAGAGTTTACTACAGAAAGATATTTTAATAAGAATTCCATTCGTAAATGTACTTCAAAACAGTTATTTTGCAACTGGTATGTCTGGATGAAAAAGGACACAAGTAATTTTAAGTTGTTACATTTTATTGGTCACTTTCAAATCCAGTTTTAATGTTCCCTTATGATTTTCACAAAACTTCTCCAAGATGCCTTCCTTTGACAAGGAATGTTCTCCAGAACCATCCCAACTCTGACCTTCTTATTACCTCTGGTGATGGAATTGTTGGAGACGGGATCTGCGGGATCTGCTGGAGCCTCACTGCAGGGTTTCTTCAGATGGAGGGTGCTGAGATTCCACAGAGGGCTCTTGGGTCCCAATCTCTTCAGCAGCAAACACAATATTAAATGAAGAATGTCAATCAGCAAGTAGTTCTTCTACAGGGTCTCCTAGAACACACTCCCTAAGGTAAGGGAGCAGGGGTCTCTTCTATCACAGCCTCCTTAGCTGGTGGAAGCTAGGCCGCCTCTATCATATCCTCCTCGGATGGTGGAGGCTGGGCTTCACCAGGGGCCTCCTCTGTAGCTTCCTCCTCGGATGGTGGAGGCTGGGCTTCATCAGGAGCCTCCTCTGTAGCCTCCTCCTCAGATGGTAGAGGCTGAACCTCAGAAGGGGCCTCTTCTACCACAGCTTCTTCAGATGGTGGAGGCTGGGCTTCATCAGGGGCCTCCTCTGTTGCTGCCTCCTCAGATGGTAGAGGCTGAACCTCAGAAGGGGCCTCTTCTATCACAGCTTCCTCAGATGGTGGAGGCTGGGCTTCATCAGGGGCCTCTTCTGTAGCCTCCTCCTCGGATGGTGGAGGCTGGGCTTCATCGGGAGCCTCCTCTGTAGCCTCCTCCTCGGATGGTGGAGGCTGGGTTTCATCAGGAGCCTCCTCTGTAGCCTCCTCCTCAGATGGTGGAGGCTGGGCTTCATCAGGGGCCTCTTCTGTAGCCTCCTCCTCAGATGGTGGAAGCTGGGCTTCATCAGGGGCCTCCTCTGTTGCTGCCTCCTCAGATGGTAGAGGCTGAACCTCAGAAGGGGCCTCTTCTATCACAGCTTCCTCAGATGGTGGAGGCTGGGCTTCATCAGGGGCCTCTTCTCTCACAGCCTCCTCAGATGGTGGAGGCTGGACTTCAGCAGGGGCCTCTTCTATCACAGCCTCCTCAGATGGTGGAGGCTGGACTTCAGGAGGGGCCTCTTCTATCACAGCCTCCTCAGATGGTGGAGGCTGGACTTCAGTAGGGACCTCTTCTATCACAGTCTCCTCAGATGGTGGAGGCTGGACTTCAGCAGGGGCCTCCTCAGATGGTGGAGGCTGGACTTCAGCAGGGGCCTCTTCTATCACAGCCTCCTCAGATGGTGGAGGCTGGACTTCAGCAGGGGCCTCTTCTATCACAGCCTCCTCAGATGGTGGGGGCTGAACCTCAGCAGGGGCCTCCTCAGATGGTGGAGGCTGGACTTCAGCAGGGGCCTCTTCTATCACAGCCTCCTCAGATGGTGGGGGCTGGACCTCAGCAGGGGCCTCCTCAGATGGTGGAGGCTGGACTTCAGCAGGGGCCTCTTCAGATGGTGGAGGCTGAACCTCAGCAGGGGCCTCTTCTATCACAGCTTCCTCAGATGGTGGAGGCTGGACTTCAGCAGGGGCCTCTTCTATCACAGCCTCCTCAGATGGTGGAGGCTGGACTTCAGCAGGGGCCTCTTCTATCACAGCCTCCTCAGATGGTGGAGGCTGAACCTCAGCAGGGGCCTCCTCAGATGGTGGAGGCTGGACTTCAGTAGGGGCCTCTTCTATCACAGCCTCCTCAGATGGTGGAGGCTGGACTTCAGCAGGGGCCTCTTCTATCACAGCCTCCTCAGATGGTGGAGGCTGGACTTCAGCAGGGGCCTCTTCTATCACAGCCTCCTCAGATGGTGGAGGCTGGACTTCAGCAGGGGCCTCTTCTATCACAGCCTCCTCAAATGGTGGAGGCTGGACTTCAGCAGGGACCTCTTCTATCACAGTCTCCTCAGATGGTGGAGGCTGGACTTCAGCAGGGGCCTCTTCAGATGGTGGAGGCTGAACCTCAGCAGGGGCCTCTTCTATCACAGCCTCCTCAGATGGTGGAGGCTGGACTTCAGCAGGGGCCTCTTCTATCACAGCCTCCTCAGATGGTGGAGGCTGGACTTCAGCAGGGGCCTCTTCTATCACAGCCTCCTCAAATGGTGGAGGCTGGACTTCAGCAGGGACCTCTTCTATCACAGTCTCCTCAGATGGTGGAGGCTGGACTTCAGCAGGGGCCTCTTCAGATGGTGGAGGCTGAACCTCAGCAGGGGCCTCTTCTATCACAGCCTCCTCAGATGGCGGAGGCTGAACCTCAGCAGGGGCCTCGTCTATCACAGCCTCCTCAGATGGTGGAGGCTGGACTTCAGCAGGGGCCTCTTCTACCAGAGCCTCTTCAGCTGGTGAAGATTTAACTTTACAAAGGGCCTCTTCTATTTCAGCCTCCTTAGATGGTAGAGCCTGGATTTCAAAATTGATGCTTTCTCTTGGCAGGGACTCTATTTCAGCAGTAGCTCTTTCTTTGTGAAGAGCACTATGATCCACAATAGATCCGGTCACCACTTGCCTAATGGCATCTTCTGAAGGTACTCGGGAGCCTTTGTCCTTTTCCTGAATAAATGGAACTCCACTGATACTTTTCATCTGAATTTCTTCCTGGCTACTTGTCACTGGTTGAAATTCAGTATGTTCACTAACAGCAATCTCTCCTGAGGGCTTGTATTTATCAACACCTTCCTTCCAACTGCCTCTTCTGGTAAAATATGTTATTTCAAAGTCATCGAAGTAGGTCTGCTGTTCCTTGTCCTCTTTTCCTTTGGAGGGAAGATTCATCATGCTCCAGTCTCCAGTACAGCTGGTCTGCTGAGATCTGTTTATTAGTCTTCTTTTTGCTGACATTTCTACTTCTTCGACTGTCTCTTGCAAGTCAAGGGCTGCTTCTTCACCATTGGCTGGCTTTTCTTCAGGTCCCACCGACTTGATTTCCTTTTTCTTGTCTACAGCAGTGTCTGTCTGCAGAGATTGATCTGTCATTTTCAGCCCATGCTTTCGCTTCACCCATGTTTGCTGAAGCTGACAAGATACTCTTAGAGATTCACAGTACTTGTCTTTGCTTCCAGGAATACTTCCAGAACTGAGGGTAGCTTTAGGGCCAGATGATGGTGGCCCAGGCATGTGTTTCTTTTTCTCTGTTCCTTCTGTCTGCTGGCTTTTATCTACCATGGGTTGGCTAGGTCGTCTTCTTTTCCGAATTTCTTGCCTCCCTGAGGAGATAGACTGATCAGATTCATTTCTTTCTTCCATTTCTAAGACTGATGAATTTCAGATTGATTAATCAACAAGTAATGAATCATCAAGAATCAAAAATGCACCAGGTAATTAAGCCTTTGCTTTCCTTCATTAAGAGTTGTTCTTGCGAGCTGCTTTAATGATGTACTTCACCAGCTATTTCATTCTGTGTTACATTCTTGTTGGATCCCACCTCACGCGCTGGCATCTTTGTGGTTCAGTCTTTGCTATAAGCTAGCTGTCACTTTCAGAAGTTTCAGGGATCTATGACATCACAGCCGCCTCTCCCACAAAGTTCTGTAAGTTATGTTCTCAGTGCTTTTTATCTTGCTATATAACAGTGGGCAATGCTGACAAACAAGACGCATACTTTATCCAAAAAAAAAAAAAGTAGTTATAAGAATGACATCGCTCCATTTGTTAGGATATGGAAAGGTGTGGGAAAAAGTATATTAGGTGAAGTAAGCCAGACCCAAAGAAACATAGGTCCCATGGTTTCCCTTACTTGTAATTGTTAAAACCCGTGGGGCCCAATAGTCAGCATGGCCCTGTGGCCCGGCCTGCTGGAGGGGGCGGGGCATCATGGGGCACCATGCCACAGACCAGGCCACCAGCCAGAGCAGGGCTTTGAGAGGTTGACGTCAGCACCCCACAGGGCGCCGCCGGAGGGGCGTGCCATGCGGTCGAAAGGAGCGGGGCACGCCACCGAAAGGGGGTGGGGCATGCTATTAGAGGGGGTGGGGCGTCAAGCCCCCCATGGTGAGCTGCCTATTGGGATTGGAGAGGAGGCAGCTTGGGGGAGGAGCCCGAATGGCGGTTTGAAACCATTAGTGGGAGGGGCGCAGCTCAAGTCTACCACTTCCACGTTCAGTTTCTAGGTGGTTAATTGGAGATATGAGCCTCACAGAAGACTTTCCTGCCTGGGCTGGCTTCAAACCACAATCCTCAGATCTTAGGCTAGGATTCTAGGTGTGAGTCAACACCTAGCAATGCTGCTTTCTTCTTGAAAAAGTCATAATTTTGAACTGCTCGTTCAAGTCTTTCCAGCCTCCTATAAATGACAGTGATAGTGCAGAACTCAATACACTGCTGTCTTTTTTTAATTGTTGGAGAAAACAATTGATAGTGTGTAGGGAAAGTCCATAAACACATGTTTCTATGACTTGAAAAGAAGTTCATACATTATGGAAAATTAAGATTCTGAAGTCCACCTCCACGTGAGCCCTTCTCCTATGTCTCGCCCTTCAATGCTCACAACAGCCTACTGTCGAAATATATTACGTTCTCCTGTTCAAACCATTTCAAGAACTTTTCCTTTTATTTTTTCACTCTTTTTTTTAATTGTGAAAATACTGTACAGAGGGGTTACAATTACATGGGCAAGATAATGAGTACATTTCTTATCAAGCATTGTAGCCTCCTCCTTTGTTTCCCCTTCCCATCCCTTCCCATCCTCCCTCCGCCCCCCCATCCAATCCTCTTCCCCACCCCCACCAAAGTTGTAAAGTTGATTTTCAACATAACGACTTATACATCTCATTATTGCAATGGATCCACCTGTATCCCTATTTAAACGAATATTTTTTCACTCTTTCCCAAGGTAATCCGGCCCAAGGTTTTCAAAATTTTATAAAAGAATACAGCAAACAACAATGACAACAAAAATAAACCAAGGCCCAAGACCATGAAAGGGAAAAGTGGGGAGGGCAAGGAAGTTATAGGAGAGACAAATATGATAAAAGTGCATGGCACGTAAGCATGGAAATGTCATGATGAAACCCATTACTGTGTGCATTGAATATAGGTCAATAAAAATGAAAAGGGAATATAGGTTTTAATCAGAACTACAGTCATTGAAAACTAGGTTATCCACTTTGAGCTTGCTGCTCTTCTCAATTATACCTGTCAAATACAGAATGTGTGTTTTGCATCAGATTGCAGATATTTGATACAATATCTTCAAAGTATCTTTTGAGATCAGTTGGTAATGAGAAAAAATTCTCAACATTGCATGGATTGAATTACATGTATCAGATTAATTTTTCTTCCTCTAACTAAATAAGATTTGACTCAATTTCCTGCAACACATACTGTCAATTTCACTTAAATTCTCATTTTTGTAATCCTCAAATACTTATTTTTTTATCTAAGCAATGATGAAGTGCTTATCAGAGCCTGGAAAAGGTATAAAGGAGGGAGGATCTAAAGATTATGGTTAATGAGGAAAGAAGTGCAACTGGATAGGAGGAAGAGTTTCTAATGTTCAATATTCTGTAACATCATTAATAGGATAACTATGGTAGACAACAATTCATTGAATATTTCAAAACCACCAGTCGAGAGGATTTTTAAATATTCTCAGCAACAAAAAAAATGATAAACGCCTGTGGTGGTAGACCAATTACCACAACCTGATCATTATACATTGCACACATGTATCAAAATACCACTTTAACCTATTGTATGCATAATTAGTAAGTATCAATGTGTGCATTGCACACATAAAAATGCATTACATACATAAAAGGGATCAAAATAGGGAAAGATGAAGTAAAACCCTCCCTCTTTGCAGATGACATGATCATGTACTTAAAGAACCCCACAGACTCTACTCCCAAATTACTCAACCTGATTTGAAAATTTGGCAAAGTAGCAGGGTATAAAATTAACCCTCAAAAATGAATGGCTTTTCTGTATGCCAACAATGAGAAGAGCGGGGCTGAAATTGGGAAAGCAACTCATTTTGTAATAGCCCCACAAAAAATAAAATACTTAGGAATTAACTAAAGCAGTGAAGGACCTCTACAATGAAGACTTTAAAAATCTGAAAAAGGAAATCAAATCAGAACATAGAAAGTGGAAAAACCTCCCATGCTCCTGGACTGGAAGGATCAACATCATGAAAATAAAAATAATTCCCAAGGCTATCTACAAATTCAATGTGATACCTATCAATATTCCAACCTCATTCTTCAAGGAAATAGAAGAGGCAATCCAAAAGTTCATATGGAACAATAAAAGACCCCGAATAGCAAAAACAATCCTTAACAGAAAGAACACTGCTGGAGGAATATCAACACCAAATTTCAAACTCTACTACAAAGCCATAGCAATCAAAACATCTTGGTACTGGCACAAGAAGAGACCTCAGGACCAATGGAATAGAATTGAAAACACAGAAATGAACCTACAGAGCTCTAGCTACCTAATCTTTGATAAGGGAGCTAAAAAAAAAAAAAAAACACAGAATGGAAGAAAGCCTCTACAATAAATGGCGCTGGCAAAATTGGTTAATCACCTGTAGAAAACTAAAGCTAGATCCTTATATATCACCCTGCACCAGAATCAACTCCAAATGGATCAAAGATCTCAGAGTCAAAGAAGACACCCTGAAAACATTACAGGAAGGAATGGGAGAAATCCTAAGTCTCCTTGGCACAGGCCAAAACTTTCTTAATAGAGACCCAGAAACACAACAAATCAAAGAAAGGTTGGCCAAATGGGATTGCATGAAATTGCAGAGCTTGTGCATGGCAAAGGACATAGCTAGCAAGATCAATAGAAAGCCTACGGATTGGGAGAAGATCTTCAATAGCCATACAACAGATAAGGGCCTCATATCTAAAATGTACTTGGAAGTCAAAAAATTAAATCCCCCAACAACAAATCCTCAAAGAAACAACTGCCCCATTAATACGTGGTCTAAAGACTTAAAGAGAAACTTCTCTGAAGAGGAAATAAGAATGACCAATAGAAACTTGAAGAAATGCTCAATCTCTCTAGCCATAAAGAAATGCAAATAAAAAAAGAAATGCAAATCAAAAGAACATTGAGATACCACCTCACCCCAGTTAGAATGGCTATAATCAAGAACTCTAATAACAACAGATGCTGGAGGGGATGTGGACAGAAGGGAACTCTACTGCATTGTTGGTGGGAATGTAAACTTGTTCAGCCACTTTGGAAAGCAGTATGGAGGTTCCTCAAAAGACTTCACAGTAGATGAATTGATCAAGAAAATGTGAGATATATACATAATGGAATTACATGCCTCTATCAGAAAAATTGACATTGCCCCATTTGTTAGGAAATGGAAAGACTTGGGAATAGTTATAGTAAGTGAAGTAAGCCAGGCCTAAAGAAACATAGGTCCCATGGTTTCCCTTATTTGTAATAACTAGTATATGTCTGGGACAAGTCGAAAAGGTCAAAAGCTATGTATATATGACCAAATAAGATGAAGTTAAGCGAAATGAACCCCAAAATAGGGACACAAGTGTTTTTTTTTCTTTCTTGATATTGTTTCTATGTATTTATAAAGTACCATGTGGTATTTTTTGTAGTTGTGGAGGTAGGAGGGAAGGGATGGTAGGGGAAAAACAAAGGAGGAGGCAACAATGCTTGATAAGAAATGTACTCATTACTTTGCTCACGTAACTGTAACCCCTCTGTACAGTATTTTTCACAATAAAAAGCTTATTTAAAAAATAATATTTTGTCATTCTTAGTAATTACTAAAGTAATGTGGCAAGTTACTTTTGGTTACAGTGTTAGCTTTGAAAAAAGTGTACTTAAGCCAAATACTGGTAGCTCATGCCTATAATCCTACCTACTGGGGAGACTGAGATCTGAGGTTCAGGTTTGAAGTCAGCCCAGGCAGGAAAGTCCTCCATGAGATCCATATCTCCAGTTAACCACCAGAAAACCACAAGTGGAGCTGTGGCTCAAAGTGGTAGAATACTACCCTAGAGCCAAAATAGCTCAGGGACAGCACCCAGGCCCTGAATTCAAGCCACAGGACCAACACAAAAAAGAAAAAATGGGAAGGGATGGAAAGGGGAAACAAAGGAGGAGGCTACAATGCTTGATAAGAAATGTACTCATCTTTCCCATGTAATTGTAACCCTTCTGTACAGTATTTTCACAATAAAAAAAAAAGATTCTAAATAAAATTTAAAGGATTTCCTTAGAGCAGTTTCTCATTCTATTTCTTTAGACCCAACAATGCCATCTTT